AGTAGTTAGAATATCAAAAAAGGCTAATTTAGTTTCAATTTTTTTTTTAAGGGTTGGGGATTGTGAGAAGGGGTGTTCAGTTGCCTTTTGTTGTTGTTTAAGATAGAATCTCACTTTGTCATCTGGGTAGAGTGCAGTGGCATCATTGTAAGCAACTGTAACCTCAATCCTGGGCTCAAGGGATCCTTCTGCTCAGCTTCCCAGGTAGCTCGGACTATAGGTGTACACCTGCAACACCTGGCTGGGTTTTTTATTTCCTTTCCTTTTGGTAGAGACGGGGGTCTCAGGTCTCACTCTTGCTCTAGGCTAGTAATCCCAGCACTTTGAGAGGAGGCCAGGATTGCTTGAGACCAGGAGTTTGAGACCATCCTGGCAACATAGCAAGACCTCATCTTTACAAAAATAAGAAATTATCTTGGTGTGGTGGCCACGTGCCTGTAGTCCCAGCTAGTAGGGAGACTGAGGCAGGAGAATTAATTGAGCCTGGGAGTTTGAGGCTGCAGTGAGCTATGGATCAGCCACTGCACTCCAGCTGGGCAACTGAGTGAGACCCTGTCTCAAAAAAAAAAAAAAAAAAAAAAGGAAATCAATAAAAAATAAGTTTATTAAATTGTTTCCTCTGTTACTGGAGTAGTTTTAGAACGTGAAAATACTGATTGCCTTAAAGAAGGTGAAGTTAGGAAGAGGTACACTAAAATTAGGCAAAAAGGAATAGAAATAAATAGGAGAGAAGGAGACATTTTACTTAAAATGGTTGCCCATCGCAAATTGACCAAGGAGTTAACCAAAAAAACAAAGAAAAGAAAAGAAAGAAAGAATAAATAAACTAAATCGTTGCCTAATGTGGTCCTGGCCTGGGACCACATGGTTCAACTTTATGTTCAAACTTAAGCTTAAACTTAACTTGTCACTGAGATAGCTTTCAACAAATGAACCTTTTTTCTTATTTATTTTAGATGAGTTTTGGTACTGTCACCTAGGCTAGTGTACAGTGGCCTATCATAGCTCAACTGCGCCTTGAACTTCAGGTTTAAGCAGTCCTCCTGCCTCAGTCTCCAAGCAGCTGGGACTACAGGAGTGTGCCACCACACCCATAATTTCTATTTTTTTGTAGAGATGGGTTGTGCTATGTTGACTAGGTTGGTCTTGA